TGCTGCTGACCGTGCGCACCGAACGGAAAGAGGAACTGGATGCGGTCAGACGATCGAAAGTCATCAATCCCCACGACATCGAAGACATGGTGTTCCTGATGTACGTCGCGAAGAGGTGAATAATGATTCCGAGTACACATGACGACATCACTACGTCATCCTTCGAAAAAAAATAATAAAGAGAGGATAGAGAACGCCAAGACTGATCATTTCGAAATACCTCGAGGACGAAATGCTGTCTCCCCAATGCGAACGGTTTGTTTCCGACGAGCTGAACAAGTTCAGCAAGACGAAGTTGTCTTCGATGTACTCTGTGGAATTCCCGAAGCGGACGAAGAGAAGTACGCTCGAAGACACCAACATCGAGGAGGTTGGCACGAACACGTGTTTCGTCCGTCTCCGTCGAACCGACGTGAGCGATCGGTACAAAGCGATCATTGCAAACATGCCGGTCGGCACCAAAATCTTCGTGTGAATTCGGCGTATTAATTAAAAATAAAATATGCTACATTCTCGGTACTTCGTGTTTTTTCGTTTCAATTTCTTTTGATGTAACCGTATTTCTACCTCGGCGATACTCGTGGAGTTCGTTCACTCTGACTGTTGACTTCGTACTGTAAAAATCGATGGCGGACGACGAACGGGTAAGAAATCTGCAGATGCAGATGGAGGAGAGAAAAGAATATATAGGAGTACTTGAAAAAAGCTTGACCGTGGCGGCGAAGAAGAATGACGTATTGCTTGGAGAAAGGCTGTCGATACTCGAAGAAGAGAGAAGAACTTTCATCGCATCTGTCAAATCTTTAATGGATTCTGTTCTTTGCTTTACCTATATAGTGGTATTGTGGCTCCTGATTGAGTTCATTGTGGAAAGGTATCGAGGTTTGACTAAGTGATGGAGAAGAAAAAAATGTACAGCATCCAAGATAATACTAATTGTACATTATTCGACGTTTGAATAAATAAATTTCGTAAAATATAAAAAAAAAATAATTATGCTCGTGTAAGTTTTTGTTGTTGTTATTGCGCTGACATACGTAGAAACATGTAGATCGCCCTCTATAATACTAGGAGATCAGATCTTATGCCGACATTCGCTAAAAAAGAAACACAAAAGGCACACAAGGTTCAAATTTTCAAAATTTATTGAAACAATTAACAAGGGGTCGCACTTTTCAGGATCGTCTCGCATTCTCTCGCCGTCGATTTCAAGTGTAGGTGTTGGGCGAAAAATTTTCTGTAACATTCTGCGATCCGACGACGGAAATTTGTTTCGCGCAGTTTGTTGGCAGACTTCGAACAGGCTTGTTGGGTTCCCTCTTTTTTGGAATTTCGCATCCGATCTCTGTGTAATTTCGAGCTCGAAGGTTGCATCTTTTTTATGGCGAGCATCAAAATTTTCAAGGAACCGAACTTCTTTTTCAAAAGAGTCAATTGCAGTATCATTTCGGTTCTAATTTCCTTCGACATCGTCACCTTTTCCGTCCTGCTATTTCCCAACGCACGCAACACGTTCTCGACAACGAGCGAGTCGGCGGACCACAGAGTTTTCACCCTCTCAACCAAAGACGAGTACATCACTTCTTGCGACATTATTCCATTCTGGTTTTTGCAACTCGTCT